GTGTTATCTCCCATTTTAAGATATGCCCACATCAGTACAGCACAATGCGTATATTTGCATAAAAAATAACAAGAAAAATGATTTAAAAACTCTGATGCAAAGAACAAGGAATAATTATAGAAATGTAAATGTTTAGACACAAACATTATTTTCATTTCTACATTCGCATTAATACAGACAGAATGGTGAACTGAAATTAATATTCTAACGATAATCAGAATAACCTCAACATTCGATCAGGCTGTCACGAGGTTGTAAGTCTTCAGTTTTGTAGGCATAGAAACGAAACCTTAAAACGACGCGCACGTGTTCTTTAACTAGGGTTAAACGTAGTCTTCCACTGCGAAATACTTGCACAGCATACTACTCGTATATATATTACGAATGGATGAATGTTTGTTAGAGTTTGTAGCCTAAACAGCTCAACGAATCTCGAATAAATTTGATATATATGTAGAGGATAGTCGGGAAAAACACATAGGCTACACACTTTTATTTTTTTTAATCCCACGCGGACGAAGTCGCGGGCGAAAGCTATATACACATTTTGTGTAGAAAAAATAAACTCGATAAGGAAAATTTCGCTGAACGATAATTCCATTACCATGAAACCTTCATATCATCGTCAGAAATACTTCGTATCCATTCAACGTCACTGCAAAGTACAATCATATGGACAAGTGCCAAGAAACTTAGCTAAAGTATATTGCCGTGGAAAAGCGAAACTTACAAAATCATATTCAGAAATAACTCTATCACAAAAACGCTAAAGAAGAAAGAACGCAACTAGCGCCATCTATTCAAACTTAAAATTTTCTCCACTACCAAGCAGTGATGAGGTTGCGAATGACGCATTAACAAATGTTATGTCTGTCTGTACTGTACTCATTTAATTGACAGGCGTGTTTATATTTACATTTCATACAATAGTTTGTTGACCAGTTAAAACATTGTTCAACCATGATTTAAACAAACAAAACATTTGTCTAAATAAATATGTGACAAATTAGTTTGTTCTATTTTATATCAGTGATATAGACGGACAATCTACTTTACCCGGTGAGTAGTCAAACCCATTTTCAGTTAGAACGCTCCCACACTCTTGTATAAACTATCGGACAACTGTTTTGCGATTGTCGATGTTTAGTTGCACAACTAAAAATCGAGTAGTGTGCGCACCTCCATATAAGCATGAGAATCAAAGCGAGACTACAGTTGTGCGATAGTTTAGTTTCAGGTGTCATCAACACAAAACCATTATCAAACGTCATTTAACCATAGACATGTTATTTATTTGGATGTATAGTGGAAACAGACTGGTATGAGCGTCGGTGGCTCAGTGGTTTGAACACTTGACTTTTGTAATCTACAGGTCTTGGGTTCGAATCGATTTTTCGAATTTTTATATGTACATAATTTACCCGACGTTCTTACGGTGAAGGAAAACATCGTGATGCACATATCGGCGAAGAAATTCAAAGATATGTGTGAAGTCCACTAACCCGCACTTGGCCAGCGTGGTTGACTATGACCTGGTCACCCATTATTAGGGTAGGCTCCGAGCCCCTCGGTGGGGACGTATAGTGAGCTGGTGATGATGATAATGATGATAGTGGAAACTGACCTTAAGTCGTTCAGTAAGAAATACACTTCATAGCAATATTAAAGAAAACATAAAAAAATTATTTCAACACTTATAACAAGATAATAAAATACAGTACTAATAAAGACAACAATTCTCAAAGGACCTAGTTCGTAATATTCAGTACGACTTAAGACATTCTTAAACAATGTAATACTTGATTCTTATGGACTGTCTCAGCTGGTTGTTGAGTCATTATACAAAGCGTAAAGCATTATGCAACTTAGAAATATGTCTATAGTAAACTAAGATACATCCATTTCTTACTAGCTTTGAAGTTATACTCGGAGGAAATTGACAATTTTCATGAGCAAAGAAAACTAAAGAACTTAACGTGGTTTTTAACAGTAAAAATTATTTGTCATATTTCTATTATTTCAGAGAAAACTAGCTTTTAATTGTGTCTTCGTCCGTACGGAAATAATAAAAAAAAATAAAGTACAAATTATTGACAAGAAACATCCATCATAAGTTTCACATTATTAGTATGATGTATATATAACTAGCTGTTGCTCACGACTTCGTCCATGTGAAATTAAAAAATATAGCTTATGTTATTCACAGATAAATTACCTTTCTAACGGTGAAAGAATGTTTGAAATCGGCCAAGTAGTTTTTGAGTTTTTTTAACACATACAAAAATAAAAATCTTTGAATGAATAAAGAATGTGATAGTTTAAATGTTTTTGTGTAATTATTTTCGCAATTGAAACTAATTAAGTTGAACTCAAAACTAAGTTATAGTTTTTTTTAAATTAAATAGAAAAAATTAAAACAGTCCTATTCGATAACATAACCTCAAAATTCAGGACATTACCGTCTTCTATTGTTGAAAGCTATTGCTATCGCGTATTTTCTATGCGAAGGAAAGGGACGGATATAGGCTTTATACGGGTCAAGATTAATGTAAACCCACGTTTATTTTTAATTTACAATGAGTCAAGGATGTCAAGAACATAGTTACTTGTAGGAATATTGCAATGATAATTATAATTGTGTTTGAAACTAAGAATTTTGTAATAACTTTCACCTTGGCTGATATTTCATTGTCTTTCCACAAGTCTTATCGAAGCCAACGAAGGTTTTGTATCTTATTCTTTACTATCATTTATGTTGAGAACATTTTATTACGTAATACGTTAACTTTAGTCGTTTTTATTACTTTTTACATGCTAGTTGTCACGACATTTATCAAGTACTAGTTGTTTGCGACTACGTCCGAGAAATTAGAAAATCGTAAAAATATAGCCTATGTTACTCACTGATAACGTAGCTTTTTAATGGTGAAAGAATTTTTAAGATCGACCCAAATGTTTTTGAGTTATTTAAATACATACAGATATCCAAAAATACAAATCTTTCCTCTTTGTTCATCATCTCCCCCGCCTTATCCTAATCCCGTAGGGTGGGCGCACCGGGTTTTCGTCCTCCAAAGCATTCTATCATCCGTCATCTCAGTCATCTCAGTCATCACTCCCTTCATGATCATGTCACCTTTCACGCAATCCATCCATCTCTTTCTATGTTTTCTAAATCTTTCCTCTTTGTTATATTAGTATAATAATTTTCTTACAACATTTCTGTCGTCATTTAAATTGAATTCAAAAATGCGTATCGTATATAATATCGAATGCTTTTAAAAAATCTCTATTATAAAAGTAAGTTTACACTGCGACAGCAAATGTACAAATAATTAAAAAAAATCCAATGACTTTTTCTACTGGATTAATATTAACCTTTTGCCATAATATACTTTGTTATATTCTTACGTATATAATGTTATGGTTTACATTTATTATCATAACTAGAAACGAACAATGTTTAAGTAACGTTTAGTATAGTTTTTAAAAACAAAAACTGAAATTACGATGTCATCTATACTATAATAAAGCGTAAACACACGTGTTATGTGCCAGCAATTAAAGTACAGTTTCTAAATAATCCTTTTATTAATAAAAACCACTACACTCTTGACACGCTTTAGGTTATTTTCACGCTTTAAACTTAGGGCCTGTCCTATCACTGGCTGATACAGGCTCGAATAGCTTAAAAGTGACGTCACTGTCATATACGTACCAAACTTCGATACTTCCATCACGTATTTTATACGTTAAATTGTTATCTGACAATTTACAAGAATTATGGGACAGGCATTTAGAGTGAGTTAATTTGAAAAAATCTGTGCGAGAAAGGGACAAAAACGAGCAAATGTAATAGAGCAGGGTTGCTATGATTACTACTCAGCTAATGACGAGCGTTCGTTCTCATTTTAGCATTTATATTTTTTTGTTTGTTTCTATTAACAATAAAATAAAAAAAAATTAATGTCATGCAAACACAACCGTAAAGGAATAGATAGTGAATGACTTAAAATACATAAGGAATGTGTACCCGTATTTAATCGTCGCATTTATTTTATTTTACAACTGAATAAACCAATGTCATATATTTAACATGTAAATTATTATCTTTGATTGGGTATTTGTTACGAAATACGTTATTCATTTGTTTTCCGCTAAAAGTAACCGTGACTTCACTAATGAAACTTGCACAAAAATATTATTATCCCTTTTTAATTCGTTGATAAACGTGAAACAATTATATTTTTGTGTTTTGACGGAAAATGTCAACATTTTTTTTAATGATATAAACCTAATTTTTGCAACATCTATACTATTATAATAAAGCGTAAACACACTTCTTTGTTGCCTAAGAACAATCACATTTTGAATATTATTTGAATTTCGAATAACACTTTTTATAAAAAAAAGTGTAGGGTACACTTACGTCACGCTTTAGGCTGTATATTTTCACGCCGTTAAACTTAGGGGTAAATATTTTGGATAAAAAAGTTGTTGCCAACATCAAGGAAGCAAGGTTGCATGGTTGACATCATGTCATGTCATTTTGACATTTACAATTGATAATTTGACAAATGTGAACAATGAAATGATTTTTTTGATTTTATGCGGATGAAGTCGCATGGGAACAGCTAGTTAGTAATAAATGAATTTTCAATCTGTTTTACAACATTTATTTAATAACGTAAATGTTTTATTAATTTAATTTTTAGTATTGTCTTGATAATAATAATCATTTTGTTAGATATTCATCAAGAGAATATGTAAAGTGAACTCGACATCAGTTGTTGCTGCGAAGGCATATTGTGGCTGAGCTGAGGCCAGTTCTCTGTAACATACGAACCGGTATTTTCACGACGTGTTTGTGTCTCGTTGGATACTTTATTGTTAAAACATTCTGAACCGTTCGAATCGACTTATATATAACCCATTATAATATATTTCTAATTAGAATCAAATAAGAATTATTAATTTAATTGCATACGAATATGACTCACCCAAATTGATAACGGTATTAACTGGCAACTTTAAAAACACAACAAACACTTTAGTCCTATAAATCCAGGAGGAAAGCCCCGAAGGCAGAGTTGGTGCAAGTTCAGTCACCCCGTACGACCGGACACACAGTACAGTGTCACACTGTGTCACATTGTATCACACCGGACTTGCACTCGATATTGTTCAAACAATGATTTGGTGAGCCAAAACATGGGTAATTGTTGTTTAATAATATTCCACCGACTTGCAAACGCACCAGCGACGACGAGGCGATCGGTGACTCGACAACCAGTTTTCTATCTCGCTCGCACGGGAGTTTTATTAGTGTTGCTATATTTATTGACGCGTTTTCCTTTTATTATTCGTATTAAATGTATTTGAAATGCCATAATTTTATTATTTGTTCTTAATCGCTATTTATTTTACAATTTGTTTACATTTTAATGATTTTATTTGCAGTTAACTTGTTAGTTTTACTGTCTTTTTATAAAAATAAATAAAATATAGTGTTAGGTTTTCCTCTCTTCTACTAAATTAGTTTTTATTTATGATTTTTTTTTTTAATTTCTTTCGTAATTTGTGTTTCAGTACATAAAAAGGAAATACTTTATTATTTAAAAATAAGAATATCATTGCGTTTCAATATATGCAGGTAATTTAAATTTCCATTCTTTGTTGGAAAATATCAACAGATGGCAGCACTATAACAATAACCTCAAAGGCTGTGTCCGAGCGAAAACAAGCGGGTACGCACAATTACACGAAAGTGATTCACTGGCTCTACCTTCAACTACGACAACGTTCCAAATATAACATTGCTCAACACAATTAGAACTTTGTCAAACTACATTTGTTATACTTTTGACATAGTTATGCTATATTTATTAAGACCATAACTAGATTTTTATGTTTTATTACTTATATCTTTATTAGGTAAATTAATATAGTTGTAGACGCAAACTATTTGCACTAAACTCTAAATTAGCTGCTAAAGATTTTATTTAAAAACTTGTACCCGAACTGGAGAGGTCTTTTTTTTGACAGTACACTAAAAAGCTTTTCTTGAAATTGAATCGGAAAAAATATTTTTTAAAAGATAGCAGTTTATTTGTAAATGTTTTGAATTTTTTATTCGTATTTGGAAATTAGTGTTTATGAGGAATTTATGCCTTCAGAGACCTACAGATTTGAAATTTTATTATTTATGTCTTCTTCGTTATGTTTTAGACCATTACATTATATTTAAGTCTTGTAAATATTTGACTAGTTATTTTATATTTTACTCACTTTACGTGACTAACTAAACATTTGAACTCTATAGTGAAATCGTATGTGTGGACACAAAACTAAGTCCATATAGTTTAACTGTCGAGTAAAATGTTTCCTATACACATAAGTTTTGACTGTACAGTCTGACTGTTCAATTAAAATTGCACAGTTGATCTAATTGTGTGTTTTAAAATAAAGTTTCTGGTTTCGTTGTGCGTCGCATTCATCCACTTCTGTTAAATTGGACAGACAAACGGGTTACGTTACAAAAATTTAATTTCCCCATTCCAAAGTGCACAAAGAATTTGTGCTGAAATTTTTCAGCTTTTCAGCAAGGGTTTGTACAATATCACTGAGGATTTCGATTTACTTTCCCCGGCTCGTGACTGAGATCTTGAGAGCTGGTTTTTTAACGAATTATCTCAATAAAGTTACATTCAACATTTTACTACGGCTGTATTTAATTTATCAAAAGGAAAAAGACGATTTTTATAAAATGAAAATCCCAAAGGACAGAAATTAAAGAAACAAACGTAACATCATTTTAATAATTTATTTATGTCTCTTGTCTCGCAAAATTATGTAAGACTAGCTTTCGCCCGCGACTTTGTCAGCGTGATATTAAAAAATAGAAATGTAGCCTATGTTAACTTATAACGTAGCTTTTTAATGGTGTAAGAATTTTTGAAATTGGCCCAGTAGTTTTGAGCTTATTCATTACAATCAAACAAACAAAGTTTTCTCTTTATAATATTAGTATAGACAAAGGAAATGTAACTATGTAAAGCATTCTGAAACGAATGTTAACTCTTTGCTGTGTCTCTTATATGAAAGACATCAAAATGTTAATGCAATTAGGTGTTTAAACTTTGCCTTATCATTTGAGGCGCTGTTACATATTTAAAATAGCGTTTCAGTATTCAACTGCAAGGCTGATTATACGCCGTACTTACCGTACGAGTACGAGATCCATGACTTATTATATTTAAATATATTAGTTATGTTTTTTTAATCTTTATGAATAACTAGCTGTTGCTCGGGACTTCGTCCAGGTGCTAATAGAAAACATACGAACTATATAAACAACAATAAGCTACGCATCTCTCGGTAACAGGACATTTCTCGGGGATGAACTTTATCCCATGTGTACTCCAGACTTTGTTTTATATCTGTGCCACATTTTAATAACATATGTTGAAACGTTGCAGAATGATCGAGAAATCATTAAAAAAATAAATTAATTAATCCCACGGGAACCGTTACTATTCCCGGCATAAAAAATAGCCTATGTGTTCTTCCAGACTATTCACTACATCTATGCCAAATTTCATCGAGATCCGTTCAGCAGTTTAGGCTACAAACTCTTAACAAACATCCATCCATCTAAACTTTCGCATTTATAATATTAGTATGATGGCTGTAAATTTTGACTAGTTCTTGTCTTATAATCGCTTTTAAGGTAATCTTCGATTTAAGGTTAGGTAAGATTATTACGAGGCCTTCAAGTGACTCTTTCAGTATGTAAAAACTTTAAATTGCAAGTAATTACTATGGATTAAAACATCTAAATCACTAACACAATATCTACACTTTTTATTTAACCTTCGATTTCAATTTAAACTCAATATAGTTTTTCACTAAATTTCGGCATCGTACAAGAAAAATAATATGAAACAGCAATCTTACAACTTTAGCGACCTTAATATTGAATCAGAAAGTGGAGCAAACTGTACGAAGCGATTGTAAAATTTTCACACCTGGAAAATTTAATATTAAGGAAGTAAAATGCTTTTAGGCGAATTTTCCCTTTTATATAAAACATAGTTTCAAGAATAGTTATTAAAAATAAAACTGCAAAGTATCTACATAAAATCTGCTTTTATACTCTGAGTGCTGTTTGGTGCCGGATGCCTAATTTTAGTCAGTTTTCCTTTCCACCCTTTTCTTAAGAGAAGAAAATGTGAAGGAAAAGTGGATTTGACGGTGGAGAAGACGCATAGGAAGGGGAAATGTCCACTTTATGTGCGTCTCCTCCGTCAATTAAGGGTAGGCAACGCATCTGCGATTGTGGATGTTTATGAGCAGCGGTCATTTTCCATTTCGGTGGATTCAGGTGGCCACTTGCTCGTTTGACACCTTGTATTATAAAAAAGTGTACATTACGTATTCTTTTTATTTTCAATTTATTTACCCTCTAAGTTTAATTGCGTGAAAATATATAGCCTAAAGTGTGTCCTAAGTATAGGGCTTCTTATTAAAAAGAAAGTTATTCAAAAATATTCTGATTGCTGACATCGTATGTTACGTAGAAGTGTGTGATTATATTAGTATGGAAAATGCAGACATACAGAGCTTGTCCGTGGACCATCACAATTACCAACCTAATACTTCGACATAATCATCACATATCGATATAACATTTAATACATCCACTAATATAAGAAAGAGAGGATATATACACTTACATAGTTTTGTCTCGCTCCTTCTTTTCACTCTTAATTTGATCACACACGATGATATACACTGAAACAAAAACAAATATTTGTAATGTTTTAGTTAATACCCTTTGAATGTAACGGCTGAATACTCAAACGACATTTCAATATGTAACAATTTCTTAACAATAACCAAATTCCATTAACATTATGACGTTTATCAGTGAGTCACATTTAGGAAGCAAAGATTCGTTCCAGTATTCAGCAGTAAGATACTAGATATTTTGAATAGCTTATCTAAATACTTAGCTATCTATTTGTAACGTATTACACTATAGATTAATAAAATTTTCAGTGGCAACATCTTAAAGAGAAACTTTTTTATTTTTAGTTAAACCTTCCGACTTGTTAATTAATTTCGAAGTTCATCGCAAAAGTGGAATAAACTTGGAACAGCATAGTACATAAAACAAAGCTTTGTGTTAAGATTAACTACTTAGAATGACTATTCATTTTATGTGATTTATCTTGTTTAAAATACTAATTTTAGGACCTGTCCCATCACTGTCAGATAAGGGAACAAAATCCGATATTTCCATCACATACTCGTATTTTATACGCTGAATTGTTTTCAGACAATTTACAATTTGGCCTTAGTCTCTTTTCGTATTTTCCCTTCACATCCTTCTCTTATAAGGAAAGGATGGGAAGGGAAATTAAATTTGATGGTGGAGGAGACGCGTAGTGAAAATATCTTCTTCATGATCGTTTCCCTTATAATATAAAAGGTGCTGCGTCATTAGAAATCCACGCTAATACAGACAAACGTATCCCACAATAACAATTAAAACAGAAACTTCAATGCACTTGCGCATTTAGTTCGGGTTTGTTCTGTAAACTGGGATCATTCGGTCGCAAGAACAAAACAAATTCCGGACGAACTAATTTGGACTTGCTCCAGCTGTCCGGAACATCGCCGGTACAAATTGTTGAACCGGAATGTTCCTACATTCTCATATATGGAAACAACAATTGCAATGAAGCTAATAAAATTATTAATTAAAGATTTATGTACAATTATTCTTTAAAAATAAATCTTTGTTAAGGGTAGGCATATTTATCAATTGTCAATCAGAAATACCACAAGAAAGGAGGAAGAAAACATCGTGATGCAACCTGCACATCTGCGAAGAAAAAATATGAAATCGTCGCGCACTAAGCCTGGGATTGCTATGGTTTAGTCACCTTACATTTTCTCTAGCCTCTCAGTGGGGACGTATAGGGAGCTGAAGATGATGATCAGGTAATATCCACAATGTTTGAGGACCGCATATACCTCGAATGAGTCACTAGATAAGAAACAAAGGTCCAATTTTTGTGACGATAAGATAGTTCCGACAAGGCGACTAATCGCGCGCACACCTTTGACTATCGCAGAACTGTTTAGCCTCTCTTTGATTCGTGTGATTTTATATGAAGGTGCGCACACTACTAGAATCAGTTGTGCAACTAAACAGTTGAATCTGCTGCGAAACAATCGACAATCGTACTAGTTTTGCGACAGTTTAGACGAAACAAGATGTAATTATAAAACATGCTAGATATAGTTAACAGCTAATATTCTGATAGCTACATATCTTGATTCTCGTCGTGTTGTGAGCGATGGACAATGCCGATTGTCCGCGCTATTGTATGTGAGTTTATTTAGAAACTATTAATGATGTCACTTGCTTGTCAGTACACATGCAAGATCTTAGAGATATAAGGTAAAAAGGGAATATTTATGTTTTAAGAAAAAAAGTAACTAACTTATTAGAATTGTTAATAAAATGAAAACATTTAACTTTAATACCTAATTAAATTACAAAGGCTTATTTAAAAAAATCAGCCTGACTAGTTTATTGTGTTTATTTTATGACCAAGTTTAATCAAAATTATGATTAACATGAAACCAAGAGGTAAATGCAAAATCTACATGCCCCCAATATTACCTCTAAATAATATAAGCTTGTATGTCAGTATATATGTAGACTATAACGCAATCAATAGCCGAGAACAGCATGCATTGTAATTGGCGATATGAATTTTAATTGCCACCTTCTGAGGGAACGCCTGCCATTTCCGATATAGCAATAAAGCATTGGAATATTAATATTTTATAACTGGTATTGTCTAACGTCGACAGCGAATTAAAAAAAAATAATAAGTCTATATATCTTCCAGATTATGTTTTACATCTGTGCTAAATTTCATGAAAATCCGTTTAGTCGTTTTGCAGATAGATTTGAAATTACGAACGGGCCCTACCTTAATAAATAAATAAAATTCAAATTCGAACATTCAATAAAACAGTATTACCTCGTGTATGTGACTTAAAACTTCGGTCCTAGACATATCTTCTAGCCTGGTTTCGTTCACATCCATTATCTCGTCTGCCAGCTCCAGATTGTCCCAGTTCCCAGCAGACGGCGACCCTATAGGACATCAGAACAATTATAAATAAAAACGTAACCTTGACAAATGATCAAAACATTGACAAGAAAACTTGGAAACTCTTAGTTTCTGTGTCTATCAAATTATACGCCAGAACATGTTCTGCTAAAATACACTAAAACATAAAAGTATTCCTTCAACAAAAGTAAAAGTGATTGGATTGTTTCCAAGTAAAATTTGGGAACAATCTCACCAGTTAATGTTCTGCATTACATACAGGTTATGGTAACACCGACCATAGTGATAACATGTCATATTGACACAAACATCGAATCGCGTGTCGAAATTGAAAAATCTGATTAAAACAAATGAAAGCGAATTTTAACTATTATGCTTTATCGATGACTAACTTTCACCCGCGACTCCGTCCGCGTGGAATTAAAAAAAAAACAATAGTAAGTAGCTTATGTGTTCTTCCAGACTGTCCTCTACATCTATACCAAATTTCATCGAAATCCGTTTAGCCGTTTAGATTATGAACTCTAACAAACATCCATCCATCTAAACTTTCGCATTTATAATACGAGTAGTAGTATGATTTTGGGTATTTTCTTGCTTTTCGTACATGCTTTTTTTACTATATAAATTAAATATTAAAGTTTTTATTTAACGGAAAATTTTCTTCACTTTGATCAGTCATATTTTAGTAAATTAAAGATTAAGTTTAAGCGGTTAGTTATCCAACGGATCCGTCTTGGATTAGAAAGTCTTGACTAATCGCTTCATTTATAAAATTAACTATAAATATTGAATAACACTAATTTTACGCTAATTTTTAATTTAGTAGTTAGTTCTGGAAAAAAGTATATTGAACCCAAGATACAGGATGTCCGTAAACAATAGTACACGAAGTACTATTTTGATAGAATAGTTAACGATTTACCCGCTTTGGGCGATTACTTTTTTTTTTAAATCAATGTAGAATAAAGAAAATTTCTTATTGATGAAGAATGTTAACTAATTAAGCTTCAATCACCTTTGCTAGCGCATTAACAATTTTTGTATTTCATCTGTTGCTAAAGGGATCTTCACGAGAGCATTTATCATGATATCGTCTCTATCGAAGTGCTTTTAGGTGTTACAAGAATGGGCCAGTCCAACAGGGAACCGTATTCTTATAGAATATTGGCATTTGCTATATATTTAAGGTATTTATGACAGCATTTGTTGAGAGTTGCCATATTCTTACCAAAATACTGTAAACTTATTGAAAATGATAACATACTAGTCTGGGAAACCTTGGTTATTTGTAAAATGTGATTATTCAGCACAACAGTTTAAAAATAGTATAAAACAGTAATAAAACCCGAAAAAGGAAAATGGAAATAAACGTTCTTTACCGTATTTTACATTCATTTGTGTATTTTAGGAAATAAATTTGTGTTTTCAAAATGCAGATTAAAAATTTACTTTGTATGTTCCCGATTATATCAAAACTAGACATTAAAATAAATGTTTTTTTTAAGTAATATAGTAAAGGTTGTATTAGAAACAAAGATTTCCATTTTACGGTTCTAATAATTAACATTTAAAAAATGTACATATTGTACTAATAATTAAAAAAAAATAATCAAATTTGTAACATACTGTATGAAAAGGAATGTTAATGCTTGTAACTAGATCTTATACCGAGACGTGTCATCGATTATCCGATTATAACTATTGTATATTATATTTAAGTCGCTATCATTTACTTTTTAATAGGACTAAAGCTTAAAATATGAGATCTAAGCTTTCTTAATTATAGGCCGATAAGAACCCAAATCTAACGGGTAAATATAAATCGCCTTTTGACCGTAGATAACCTCTAAATCTATCCCAAAACACGTTTTAAAAATGTAGTTAAAATTAAGTTATTGTTAAAGGACACTTACCATACAATTTGACTTTATTATCCTTCGTTTGGACTACAATAATAACATATCCTTCTAAATCAACTGATTTACACTTCACTGTAGTCATTTTATCAATAGTATTTATTTGCGTTGTGGGCGCGTTAAACGAATTCATTTTAAACTTTATAACACTATCACAAAACTGATTTTAAATTTCCTATTAAATAAATTACCACACCGGTATGATTATTAAAATATTTCGTTTCCTCCAGCACCATTTGGGACACGACCTTTTGAATCTTCTATTCGTATTATACATTTTGTTACATACAAACATTTCGTACCCATCCCGAGTATTCCACTGTCATGTAGAGACACGATTGCAAATCATCTTCGATTTAGATTAACAATACTTATTTTTCTTATTTGCCGTAAAACTATCAATGGGAGGCTGATTTCACTATGAACTGTCGCATTTCCACTTCGCGTACGATTTACGTTAGTTTAATCACGTTAGGGTATATTTTCACCGTTGTTTGTACATTATAATTGATATTTTGCTTTATTTTGAGATCGTCTATGGTGATGGTGACGAGTTAGGAGCGCTTATAAGTGTGTTTTTGAGTGTTGCGAGGCCCACGTCCGCGGCGGCTGTACGCCGCGAATGGATACAGCCATCCCACTTTAACGCGATCAATAAAGCTCCCTACAGCATCCCTACAGACTCCGACGTAAAACGTTCTAACTTACATTCACTATTAGTTTTTATTATAAGACTACAGAAATTATATTTCCAATTAATACCAATAATTTTGAAATAAAATAACAAAAAAAAAATAATTTCGACAAAATAGAAATTTTCAAGGTCCCACCGAGATTTGAACTCGGATCGCTGGATTCAAAGTCCAGAGTGCTAACCATTACACCATGGGACCGGCTTTTGTGAAATGTAAATTACACAACAAAATTAAGTGAAAAAAAAGAATGTAGAAAAATAATAGTTTAATTGAATATTTATCATACAAAAACATTTATAAAGCAATTGAGATAATTACTAAGAAAATAAAAATGCAGCATTACGTAGTTTGGTTCAACAATCTCTTTCATATTAAAGTTTGAAAGTAATTATCCAAGTAGAATTGATTTTCGTATCACCACTAAACTCCAGACAGCTACTTTAATTTTAAAATAAACGAGTACTGCTAGATTATAAGATTTTTTGAATATACTCCTGCACATATATACTTTTCATCAATAAACCATATTTTCACCACTAGATGGTACTGCATTATAGTTTGGATAATGTTGCACTATTGCCATCTAGCAGCAGTTATAAAAAAGTGATAAGATTCTAGAGTAAATGTTACTAGCCACAAATAATTCGCAAATAGTCTAGTAAGTTTTTTTTACCAGTATAACATAATTTGCATACCAAAATTGGTAATAATCGTAAAAAAATTAAAAGTTTTATAGTTGCATAATGTGTTATTTCTAAGAAAAATGTAAAATTCCTGTATCAAGTAACATTGGATGACAGTTTGTCACTGACTTCGCTGTGGTATGGTTGTCATTTCGTCCGTCTATCGTCTAACCTGATAGATGAATGGAGAATAATTAACATCACTGCAGCGAAGTCAACGCGTCCTTAACTGCTTCGAAAACGACGTTCAACTACAAGTTAACGACCGAGTAAATTGCTGCCGTTTCGCACTCCGCCACAACACCGCCATGATCGATGTTGGAAACAAAGATGGCGGAATAATACGGTGATCGTAACCAAACGCGTTCAGTAGTTATGTGCTGTGGTGGGCGGAGGCTGCAGCGGTGTCGCGGCGCCTGAGCCAGGGGGAGCGCGATGGCGGCGCGGCCGGGGTGATGCCGCCGCGGCCAGCGGCCGGCCGCGCGGCTATGGCGGCAGAAGAACAACGCCCGCCACTAGCTCTGTTTACCGCCGTCTACGACTACATAGCGCAGGGGGAGGATGAGCTGTCCCTGCGCCGCGGGGAGATCGTCGAGGTGCTGTCCAAGGACGCGACCATCTCGGGCGACGAGGGCTGGTGGACGGGCAAGATCGGCGACCGAGTGGGCATCTTCCCCGCGGTGTACGTGACGGAGGAAGACCCGCTGGCGGTATCCTCGGTGATCGGCGATGTGGACCCGCCACGCGTATCCTTCTCGGAGCTGAAGCTGGAGGAGGTTATCGGCGTAGGCGGCTTCGGCAAAGTATACCGCGGCTACTGGAACCAGGAGGTGGTAGCAGTAAAAGCAGCGCGCCAGGACGCCAACGAAGACATCGAAGTGATCAAAGACAGTGTGCTGCAGGAAGCGAAACTGTTTTGGATGTTGCAGCATGAAAATATAGTGTCGTTGAAAGGTGTTTGTTTGGAGGAGCCTAATTTGTGTTTGGTGATGGAATATGCGCGCGGTGGTCCGCTGAACAGAGTGTTGTCGGGGCGTAAGATCCGGCCCGGCATCTTGGTGGACTGGGCGATACAGGTGGCCCGTGGGATGGCCTACCTACATGTTGATGCACCTATATCTCTTATTCACAGAGACCTCAAGAGCTCTAATGGTGAGTATTATCAATTTTATAAACATTTCATCTTATTAAAATATGTTTTGTTTACCACTGTCTGTGAGAGCAGGTCAATTTTTAATTCTACAACAAACATTATATTTCCCCAGTATTTTAGACTAAAGGTATATTAGTCAATGAAGTGAAACAAAACAATGAATAGTCTCCATTTCCTGCTAAACCTCAAACAGGATAAATACAATGTTATGATTCTTAAAAATCTATTTCAACATTGCCCAGACAGTAAACAGTAACCTTTAATTATTGTTCATAAACTTGTGCTTAAATGTTAAAAAGTTTTGTGACAAACAAAACTGACCTTGTACAAAGTAAAACAGAACAGACCAGCAATAATCAGTCATAACCAATTATTTAGGTTCAAGTAAAAATTGGCAGATAATGTTTAAGAAACACTAATAACTTAATCTACATAATGAAATACTGCCAATAACTATGAAACCAATAGAATAACTATATAAATGTAAAAGTTTAGATGGTTAGATGTCAGTTTGTTACTATGTATCTCCAGAACGGCTAAACGGAGATATAATTCATCACAAATCTAATATATGGAAGAATGCACAGGCTACCATTAATTTTTTTAATTCCAATCAGATAAGGTTTGCATGGAAATAATTGCATCCAGTATTAACATATTTGTAACCAGAGATTGCCAACCTTTATATATCAACATTTAGGAGTCCAACAAACATATGTGAATGTTGGGTACATTTTATAGCTTAGGGATTACTAAAATTTCTTCATAATGTGATAGATACTTACACTTCTGATAGTATAATGAAGTTAGTTGGTAAGGTGCCAGGTTTTCCATTTCTGTTCGAAATATTTTTATTTAGCAGTTTCTTATCTATACTATTATAATGAAGCGTAAACACACATTTCTTTGTTGCCTAAGATGTCAGCAATTACAGCATATTTTAGAATAATTATTCTTTTAATAAAAAGCCCTACACTTTCGTCATGCTTTAGGCTATATATTTTCACGCCATTAAACTTAGAGGGTAAATATTTTGGATAAAAACCCTAATGTGGGAAAGAGACCATAAGTTGCTGCCAACATCAAGGAAGCAAGGCTGTCAAGAATTGTCATATCATGTCACTTTGACATTTGCTATTAATAATTTGACAAATGTAAACAATAAAATAAACTTTTCACAATTTCATGCGGATGAAGCCGCACGGGAACAGCTAGTATTCTTATAATTTCTCAAATAATTTATATGTAGGAAAGGCATTGACATTAAAAAAGGTATATCCCCATTCAATATACCAGATAATATACCCCACTTGTGATTATCAACGGGAAACACTTTGTTGCATTCCAATGATAAGTAAATGATAAATAATTCTGATAAGGTTTTCAATGTTATTATTGTGATGGACGCCTGATTGAAATTAAATAGATATACTATAACAGCCTTATAAATAAACACAGTATAAAATTAAACTTAGTTATTAACTGAATATAAGCAAAAATTAGTACAAATTTTGCTCGTACTCGGTTAATTCCTAAGTTTGACTTTATACCACATTAATTTGTATGGCTGTAAATTGATGGGTTACTTAACTATATTAAAACACTAAATTATCACTCATATGCCACTCACATGAGATTGGCACAAAAGGTTTCTTAAACCTTAATATTTTGACTTCATTTTTATGGCTGGCAGTCTGCACTTTATCAGCCCTTCTCGGGTTAAAGACTTTATTTGCCTAACTCAACTACTGATACTTTAATTCTCATTATTAATAGAAAACATATATAACTGAGGGTTTAACAATAAAAAAGTAAAGCAAGCAATCCGCATTGCTTATGTATATTTGGAACACAAAATGTTGCCATATCTGCATACTCCAGAAGGGTGGTTATGCAACAGCAATTTATATTGTTCTGCCCACACCACATGCTTTTAAAATACTCTGCGCCCACACACAGTTTGAATGCATATTAAACTTATTAATATTGCTAATGATTGTATTGTGATTATCTAATTCTCATTAAAGTCATACTTAAAAAATAATTACATAGTATTTTTAAGCTTGAAAATGTTCTAAAAATACACTTAGAATTAAAAACTCCTACTACCTACTGATTATGCTATCACATATTTAAATGTTTTCAGTATTTAGTCATAAGTAACATATAAACATGTATGGACATGTAATGTTTAGTAATAAATTAAGAAAAGATAGAAATGGCTAATCTAATCATAACAGGATGTTTTATTTCTACTGCCATAGTTTTTATTAAATACATTCTATGTGCTAAGTAAGATATAATAAAATTGAAGAGTCTGTTTGTAACATCAAAAATTCTAGATTTCGGAAAGATGATGTATATGCGTTGGCGTTGTTTGTATGTCTGTCTGCAGGCCGCGTTTGTTCCGTGTAATCTCCGAAACGGATGGTCTAATTTCGACCGGACTTTCACTGAAGGGTAGCTGATGCAGATATCATATGTTACTTTTTTATCTTAAATATTGCGTGGACGAAGTCGCGGGCAACAGCTAGTGCTGAGTAAGATCAAAGAACTTTAACCACATAAGTGTAAATAAGCGTATATTTTTCCTTACAAAATCTGTACAATGACCCCACTCAATGTGCGAGGGTGCCAACCCTTTTATATTTATCCAATCAGCTGAAAGCTTCCGTCGTCACAGAGAGATTACAGCGTCTCCCGCATCCATGAGAAAATTATTACTTGTGATACTATAATAATGGCCATTTGAAGAAATGTTTTAATGGATGAAATTATGATGATGAACGGTTCGTTCTTCTTCACCTATTTGAAGGTCCCAGTGGTACAATATAATTTAAAGAAAATTATCATAGTTTTAAATAACATTTTTTTTAACCTTAGATTTAATTTTAATTTTAAGTAACATGTACTGCTAACAACTTGTTCTTCAAATTGTGAATAAATATTTCAATCCACAATTTCCTAGAGTTATATGCCTAATCTATACTTAATATGAAAAGAGGAACAATTATTTTTGTATGTTTTCAATTTACGTAAAAATACTAGGCCGATTTGTGTATCTTTAAATTTTACGCGGACGAAGTAGCGAGCAACAGCTAGTATGATTATAAACCAACCAGGTGACATTTTCTGAATATGGTTTAAGTTCATTACTTGTTAATTAGACTAGTATACCAGTGTTTTTATTTATACCAGTTTTAGCTTTACTAATATGTCTACCTAAATTTAAAATAGGCTCGATTGGAAGAAACACAAAATAAGCCGACAAACAAGGAGGCGGAAAGACATTGTTATTAAAACCAACATTTGCGCAAAGACCAGGTGTGTCGGGCGAACATCTGGTTGTTGCCACGCGACCGACGAGCGCGGGGGTGACGCGGCGCGGGGGACGCGGGGTCGTTGCACCCCCGCACGATGGCTGATCGAGATAGATATCAGGCACAAATGTTAGGGGTAACGCTGCGGCCTAGCTAGAGAATAAACTTTCGAACAACTTTCCTCTGCTTTGTTGACAACGTTTTGAGACGCGTCTCGTTTAAATATAAATACTAGTCGCTTTCGAGTTGGAAATCGTTTTTATCATCATCAGCTCACTATAGGGCACGGAAACTGAAAGTATAGATCAAAGTTGTTAATATATACTTTTTTTGGGATAATTTTAGTTCCTTTCCCTTCCCACCATTTTCTTATACGAATATATGATGGAAAGGAAAAGTAGATTTGACGGTGGAGTGGATTACGAAGGGGAAATATCCTCTATGTGTGTCTTCTCCGTTGATTAAGGGAAGGCAACGCATCTGCAATTGCAGATGTTTATGGGCAGTGAGCACTTCGCTTTCTCGGCGAAATCTGGTGGTCGCTCGCGCCTATGCCACCTTACGATACCAAAAAAAATCAATGTTTATTACTCTCAGACGAATCAACCTGTATAACCTGAGTATTTCTGACTCATACATTAACATTCAAATATCGTGCGTTTGACCGTGATGTAAATTTCTAAGCCAAATATATGTCCTTGTCCAGCCCAAATGGTGACTTTCTCTTGTACATAGAAAATCGCAAGGCGCGTATGAAACTGACAAACCACATCATGATAAAGCTAGAAACCGTTGGATGGTAACGGTTTAAGGAATAAAACTGTTTTTTTTATGTTTATATTTACAAGGATCGAATGTCGCGTTGAATACAGTATTTGGTAGCCGTAAGCTATGTAATTAGTTGCTTTAGAAAATGATTTATTACGTAATATTTTTCTATTTCATACACTTTATCGTTTGTGTTAATAAATGTACCTCGTAAATAATAAAGGTATTTCCTAATTATACGTAAGTTATGTACTCGTATGTGAAAGTAAATATTGTATTGTAACGACGTTATCGTTCCATATAAGTCTCGGGTTCTGATTTATAGCTTGATCCTTTTCCTTTACCCGACTGACCCAAATAAACTTTCCACGGAGCATAAAATTAGCCATAAAGCCGGCCCTTTGGCGTGATTTCCGAGCCGTTAAGCTCAGTTAATTATTTAAAAGATCAGCTCGCCTTTAATGTCAATTATAGCAGTGCCCAGTGGGTTTATATCGCACGGTATAGCACGAACTACCTTGAATACATATCAAAATTAAAAACAAACGTATTCTACGTCTAAACATAAATATATTTCTTCTTCACGATACATCCAATTGAGCCTTCAACCTTCACCCACTATTTACTATTCACCCTTCTATCTGATGTCAATTTCAAATGCCGTAACTCTTCAGTTATACATAAAATTGATTGATACATTCCATAATTCCTGTCTACCATGGTAGTCATGAATGTTTATTAGTTACGGTGCAATAACAAGGCATGTGTAGACAAGAGTAACAGGCAGACATCGCGTGGGCTCGTTTATTTTCTGATGTAATCTCGCCATGTAACATTGCAATCAGAACCAGTCGATAAAACCGTTCTACGTTACCTGATATCCTTACATGTCCAACCAACACCACTGAAAA